GGGGGGGGGGGGGGGGGGGAACAGCCATTTTTGATTTCCCATAATATCCCCCAGTGAGGCATTGGAGGAAATCCAAGAGGCGGCTAAGCTGAGCCACTCAATTCAGCTCAAGATCCAGGCGAAGGGAGAATCAATGAGAGTGTAGCCAGGGAAGCTTTCTACGATGGCTCTTCCACTCCAGACTTGGTAATGGATGGTATGTGTGCGCGTGTGTGTTAGCAGTTACTACCCAAGACACAAAACTGCTCACAAGAGAGGTGCCAGAAAAGTCAAGGCGGCCACTACGACTCCAACAGGCATAAAAAGGCGGGAGGCTTCGGTCATACACTGCAGCCGCCATTTTGACACACACACACACCCCCCCAATCCCTACCAAGATCTCTGGAAGAACACTAGCATTTCTTTCTGCTCAGTACTGACATTCCGCTTCATGTGAAGGCAAATAAATAAATAAAGCCACAAACACTTCTTTTATCAGAGGACATTCAAGAGTTCCATCTCACCCGGCCTTTCCCTCCTTTTTTAAACTTTTAACTCAGCAGCGACGAAACGAGCGCACGGTCAATTCCACCTTAGTGACTTATAGTCATCCAACCATCATGGACCCAAAGTAACAGCAGGACGGGCAGCGCGTGCTGGATGACGCCGTTAAGAGGCTACAAGCCTGGAGCTCGAGCTCCTTTCTGGAGGCGAGCTCGCTTTATTTCGCCCAGAGGCGAACAGGTACCTCCACAGCGTTCCTTTCCCGCGCGCTCTCTAACTTCCCGACGGCGCCTGCGCAAGAGGCGCAAAATTCCGGTCTAAGAGGCGACCGGGAAGAGGAACGGTTCCGCTCAGAAGGAAGTCGCGGGCATTTGGACTGAGGGGGCTGGGGAGGGTGATGGAAGCGGAGTTAATAGCCAGGCAAATTAAACTCTTCCTACGTCCTTCAACCAGGCATCAAGTCGCCATTAGTCTCCGATCGCCTTTTTTCTCAAGTTTTCCCGCCACTCCGTAAAGGGAAGCAGAGGAAGCTTTAGCTCCTGCTCTGATCCTGCCTTGCGCCGCGCTACCACCTCTTCCATCTCCCTCCGTCACTTCCTACCCGGGCCCCGTTTTCCATCCTACTCTACAGCGGGGAAACAACGCAAGGCTGCAGTCCTTCACGGGCTGCTCACTTTGCGAGCCTCGCTGAGATCAGCGCCGGAGGATGCAGATAGGCTGGCGTGCAAATGCTGGCATCGCGAGTCTACGTGGAAAAAGCTCTCCCACCCTAATGCAACTGTAGCGGGAAGGGAAGAGGAAAAGCTAGGGAAAAAATGCGAATACTAGAGAGCGAAGGCGTCCGAGTGAATGCCACCGGAACTTCGTGAGAGGCGGACGCGGCTGCTGGTGGGAATTTAATTCAGGAGGGCTTTGAGCTTACATTTATGGAGAAAATCTATCCACGTAGTCGCAAGGAGTCGAAAACGACATGGTGGCGCATAACCGATTTAGCTCATGTAAATCACATTGTGGGCAATCAATATTTACTCCAACCAGTAAGAAAACACATAGATATTACAATACAAGCAGCGTTTCCTGAAACGCAGGGATCGAAGGAAAGCGCTGCTCTACGCGCGCGTTTCGTGCCCCCATTCGACCAAGCTTTTTTTCCCCCTTCTAAATCAGTACTACGCGGAGGAGCAGTCTGTGGCAGCCGTCACCACCACTCGCTTTTTGCTCTTCGTTTCGATATTTAACCTGCTTTCCCTTCAACCGAGATCTCAGCCCAGGACTCTGCAGCTGCTTTGGGTCTGCCCCTACGAGGACGGCTTGCCCACAACTCACCATCGCTGCCTCCCGCCCAACTTTCAAACCTCCGCGGCCCTTCCTCGCAGGGGAGATTCGGAGAGACCGCGAACGGCAGCCTGTACGGCCAATGGCCGCTGGGTGAGGATGTTGCTCCTCCCGGTAGCTTCCCTGAGCCAATCTAAGGCGCAGAAGGTGGGATTTCCTCGCCGTGGCCTTAACCCCTTGTGCTCCTCGGAGGTTGGGCGGGGAGGCTGACTCAAAGGCGGGAAAGCGCTCGTTTGGGTTGGGAATGTCAGTCGTACACCTCGGCTGACAAATGCATCCGGTTGAGCACCAAAACTCGTGGCTGCGATACAGAACGTAATTTTAGTTCTTTCGCTTTCTTTTCCATTCCCTCCAGCCCGCGTTTACAATGTCGTGGCTGATGAGCGGACTGGGTTCAAGTTAGGTCCGTGGTATCAGACAAACAGATCCATCTGAAAGCATGATCAATGAATAGATTATATCTGTTGGCACAGAAAGCAATTACGGATCTGACTTTGAGACGTAAAAGAAACGAAAAGCTAATCAGACATATCCAAGATGAGCATCCACAATCAGTTTGGCCAAAGACACAGTGCAATGAGGGTACTGTAGTTTTAGCACCTTGTGAAGTGCAAGGGGGAAGAGTGTGAAATGTAAATCCAAGGGAAGCAATGGGGGCAGTGCAAAGAAGTACCTGCTACCTAGTCCGTACACAACAGGCCCTCTAGAAATATTTGGACCAGATGGACAAGTGTAATTTTGGAAAGGCAATACATAGTGTATCCCAGACCTCCAGTTTATAAGGCTCTTTAAGTGATAACCACTTTGAATTGGGTCTGGAAGACTATTGTTAACCAGTGCAGTGACCTAAAAATCGCTGTTTTTTTCTACAGTGGTGGGCTTGCCTAGCCATAGTCTAGCCCAGTGTTTTTCAAACTTGGCAACTTCAAGACATGGGGACTTCAATTCCCAGCATGCTGGCTAGGGAATTCTGGGAGTTGAAAACACTGGGTTAGCCACTTCATTCTGGACCTGCTGTAGCATCTGAGTTATCTCCAAAAGCACCCCTACGTAGAGTGCAGTGGTACCATCATTTTTTTTTAATGGTACTGCCATGTATTGCCAAATGCATTCTGCAATACTTTCCTACTCCTTTATTGCTACAAAGAAGAGGGCCTTGTCTGCAGTGGTATACAGCTGTTAAAACACCCTTCCCAAGGAAGCCAGCTACTACCTTCACTGTCAATTTTGACACCAGGCTAAATGTTTTCTCTTCTTCCAGGCATTTCGTATTTTCAGGTTCTGAATGTTTTCACTGACATGATGGCAGTTATATAATTCAGGTAATTCATTTTTTTTCTTACATTGTTCCTGTATGTATTTTATTGTTTTTATTTTCTTATATGTTTGCATCCCTCATATTATTTGGCAGATTGTGTGTGTGTGTTTCCTTACTTTGCATGAGGAAAAGCAAACATGTGAACTCTCCATTATAATCAGATCAAAATTTGCCCTAATCTCTGACTAGACCTGGTATCTAGGGCTTCCCAGCCCTTAAATAAGAATGAAGATAGGATAGAGGGAAAAGAAGCTACTTTGGGAATGCTCAGAAATACAGACAACGCTCCAAATGTGGATGTGGCAAGGCAGAAGAGGAGGAAAGGAAAACGGTTGAGAACGAACAGGAGTTTCTCCCTCTGTTAGCAGTAGACTACTTGTGAGTAAGCAACAGATAAATAGGAGGAAGCACAAGGCTTTTCTCTCTGCAGTCCTTTGCCCAGCTGGGCTTCCACTCTTTATAGCTAACAAGGGAAGAGGGCAGCTTTGGGTATGCAGTAGTGGGTTGGTTGGCAGTTCAGCCAATACAGAGAGAAACTGGCAGCTTCGTCAGAGAGGAAATGGCCTAGTGGTATTTTTGGTCTGAGCCCAGCCAAGAGAGAACTTGGGGTGTTTATAATTATTACTGTACCTGTGTGATTCTCTTCTTGTGTCTGTATGCTTCTTCTTCATGATATAAATACATACTGTAAAAAGTTCACAACTAGAGGCTTACTTTTTTCTTACAAAATGTCCCAGAATGGAGGAAATTACCCCTTAGAACCACCCTTCTGGTGGGAGATTTGACAGCAGGCTTGATTAAAAGAAAAGCTGAAAGAGATCCTACTGGGAAATCACTAGGGAAATCAGCTCTGAAACCCAAGACCAGTTCTGGGTTAAAAGAGGGGCTACAGTAGAAAAATAGTTGAAATTAACTCCAATTGACTTCATGGACACGTCCATGTAGTTTTCTTGGCAACAATATATATATGGTTGCAACTGCCTTTTTCTGGAATGTTTTTGGACTTCCCAGGCTAGTGTACACTACACTGTAAGATTTTCTAGTGGTCTCTCATCCCAATATTAACTTGACCCAATATTGTTTTTTGAGGTCAGCCAAATTCAGATAGATGCTGCCATCTGCTGTGAGTTTCCCCTCTTCCCACTGCAAAATATCTCTTAAACCCAGAACATAATAAAACAAGTAAGCAAGAAAAAAAAATGACTTGATGGCGTTAATGGTCGAAATCTAAACCATGTGGTGCAGTAATAAGATGTCCTAAGAACTCTTTTGAACAGTATACAATAGAACAGTGGAATAATATACCGTATTTTTCCATCAATAAGGCGCCCCCAATCACAAGACGACCCCCACTTTTCCAACCCATAATTAAAAAAACAATATTTTAAAGATATTGCAGAACACATATTTATTTAG